CAGCACAGAATGTTCACAAGCAGTTTTCCAAGGACCAGGACTTCCCTCAGGTAAGTGTTACCAAAACATGGATTCAGACAAGTATTTCCATAGGAACTGGGAGGGTAAGGCTTGCAGTTAACCTTCCAGAACAGAGGAGTCTCCGATGAGACTGAGGAATTGGGACAGGAAAGTGCTGTCAGTAAGTGGAAATGCGAAACAGGTTTGCCTGCTTGAGTCTGCCCTCGACCACACTGACTCCTGGAAAAGAACATACATGCAACTTATAGAGGTAGAGAAAGCTAGACAACAGAACTGCACCTGGAGGACAGGAAACTATGACATGATTTGACCTTTCACCTTTTTAGACCTTCCCAAAACGTCCTTTCTGTCTTATCCAAACATAAAGGGCATGTTAATCGATTATTAACCAGGTACTGACAGGAACACTGAGACAGGTTTGCTTGTTGTAATTTAATTTGTTGTTGTAATTGTCATTTAATTTAATAATTGTATTTGATCCAAGTCTCTGGTACACTAACTGTCAGTATTTTTCAGCATAAGGATGCATCACCTGAAAAGAGCATATTAGAAGTTGCCACTCCAAGCCCCAGGCATCAATAAAGTCAATCCACGTCAAAGCGTACCAAAACCTTCTTAAATAGCCCAGCTCTGCCCCCTCTCACTTCTATCTGCTGTAAATTTGAAAGGTTTTGATTTTTTTTTTTGCAAGGTCCCAGAAGATAGACTGTTGCACATGTTACTGCTCACAGCAGAAAACAGGCCAAGTGTTTTCAAGTGTTCATGGGTGTTGTTTTGTAGGGGAATCTTGCCCATCACAGGGGAACCTGAACTTGTTTTCCCTCCACACACATGGCCATTCCACCGCTCATAGGCTCATCAGCCTTCTGTATAATTATATTGCTTATAAAGAATTCAATATTTTGTTTTAACTGCGATAAGATCAAAGCTTTAAGTAGAATTAGACTGTGCCTGACCAATTGGTGTAAAAACTTTAAGGCCCAGAACTC